TCTGGGAGTTGAAGTCCACTCATCTTAAAGTGGCCAAGTTTGGACAACACTGGCTTAGACTATAATTTCTGTATATTTCCACTTTAAAAAGGCATGGAATTATACTTCCAATTTGGGGGTATTGGGGATGCAGCTGGAGGTTGCTCCTGAGGCTGTAAAAGGTGCGCGGGGCTGTATTCAGCCCTGGAATGGCCAGTCTCCTCCCTTCCTTGATGTCAGTGAACTCACTTGAGATGTGCATAACAAGACATTGTGGCTCCTGGGTTGGACTCCATTTTTCACCTCTACTCTAAAATAACAGAAGGACTGAACTAGGCCTGGCCATCTTTGTGGTACTGAGCAGTTGCTTTCTGTAGAAGTTACTTATTTTGTCTCTGTGACTCTTTTTCCCCCCCACCTTCTGAGGTAAAGGTGTTGATAGCTTTTCTTCAGGACCATCTTCAAGGTCAACGAGTCCTCCGCTGTTGCATCCAAAGGACATTGTGATAAGCCCCTCAGGGAGGCCTGCTGTGGTAACTTCCCTTCAAGCTACCACAAAGTAAGTATTGAAGTTCTAAAGTATGTTTTTCATGGAGAGTTTGTGGGAAAGGACAGGATGCGGGGGTCAAATCATAGGAACATTATCATTTCCAAAGCCTTCCTTTTAATCTAGGATTGTGAGCTGTCCGTACTGAAAGAAGATCCTCAGAGAGACATTGGTTTCAATCTTTGTTTTATATGCTTGTTTTCTCTGTACAGAAAGTGAATTAACTATGAAGAATGTCATAGCCAGGCTGTGCTGCCATTCTCTCTAGTTTATTCCCAATTATTTTTCTTAAATGGTCTCAGTTTTTAAGAACATATAGGAAATTGTCTTATGTCAGTTCAGAGCTAATCCTTTCCATCTAGTACTGTTAGGCCTTTCCTGTCACCTGCTCCCCAATCTTTTAAACTCGAGCCCCTGAGGATGGATCCTAGCCTCCATCCCTGACCTATGACACTTCCCCAAGGCCTTTCTTTATTTGCTTCTTTTCCCTTTTCAAAATAAGCAAAAAAAAAAAAAAAGGAAGTCTTTCTCGGAGTAGATCCTGAGGGCTGAGAGATACCACAAATTCCTGGCTGGGTACTCCCATCCATGATCCTTTGTAGATGCAGAAAAACTTTGTCTATCCCCATTTTTCAAAACCTGGAAAAGAAGTAATGATGTGGTCACAGTTGCTTAGCAACTGTGCTTTTCTTTCGTGGACCCAAGTAAAATTCCCAGCTTTTCTCAGCGGCGAGCAGACACATATCCAGGAGACAACAGCAAGGCCACACATAATTTCTGGGATTGATAGTGAAAATCACCCAAGAGCAGGAAGCCTAATGGGTTCCAAGAATGGTGTCTGTAGGCATATTGGCCTCCATGACTGCCATGCTGGGGGGCCGAGGACTTAAAACACCCTTGCTGGAAGTAGTTGCCTTGCCAGCCACTCAGAGCTTTGTCCCCTACGATACAGTATTTAAACCAACATTATTGAAAAGACTTGTGTCCCTGCTCCTGTTCCCTAGGTTCCTGGCTCCTAACCGTACCTTGCACTACTGTCTGCTTCCTAGCTTCTGATCCTTTGCTACCAGTTCTCATCATCCTTGTATTATGGACCACAGGTCATTTTCTTGATGTCTTGCTGTCAAGGAGTTTCCAGAAAAATATATAAAATGTCTGTTTTCTTTGGTCTTGGTTTACCACTAAACTTCATCAAGTTCTTTGATATTCCTATCAGTACAAGTTTTTATAACGCTCCGTTTTTATGCATGTAGAAACACGTTGCCCAAGAAATCTGCTGCCTGAGGTGAAGAATAAAATGCTACTTTGCCTGATTCCACATGAGATGCCCATCAGACCAGGAACTGAGTCCTAGCAGATGGCAGTGTAGTTAGATGAAATGGGGTAGACCAAGTGATTTTGCCTGACAACACCATCTTCCAACAGCTCATTTAGGAGAGATGCCTTATATTCTAATGGAGGCCTAGAGACAGGTTGCTTTCTGGCATGGTTTTTGTTATGCAGTTGCCTTACCTGAAACACAGCATTTATAACGGAGAGGGGGCAGTTCTGGATAAATGTCTTTTATTTGTTACCTTCCCTTCTATTCCTACCACTTTTTAATCCTTCTTTTAACCCACAAATCCCATTAAGCAAATGAAGAGAGAGAACTCCATCCAGATATAGCAAGTTGCAGCACCCAGAGTAAAAACTGAGTTTAAATGTATATTCATTTGCCACATTCCAAAGGCATACGGTAGTGGATTCTTAGCCCACTGGGAAAAAAATAGTCTTTACAGAAATAGAATTGCACAAGAGGCCCTGCACCAAAGTTTCCATTTTGCACAGGGCTACTTGATTCAACTTTCTGTTTTCAGCTGCATTTAAGAAGGGGGGGGGGAGAATGGGGTCTCCTGCTTAATACTCCTAAGCATACCAGACATCAAAGCATGGCTATAAGAAAACAAAAGGAGATTTTGCTGCAAGGTGTTCTTTGTGTTTGTTCTTAGTTTCCCAGTCACTGACCTTCTAAAGCTAACTTTGTTTCTTCTTCTCTAGTGACAGCATATTTCAGATTATCAGTGTTTCCAAGGAAACGGGTCTCGGCCTGCAGGTTGTAGGAGGCATTGACAAGAATGAAGGGCCCTTGGTGTATATTCTGGCAGTCGTTCCTGGAGGTGACTGTCATAAGGTAGAGAAGGGAAAGAGGTCTTGGGAAGATGGGTTCTTTCTCTGCTTTTCTCTTTACAGTCCAAGTTGGAAGTGAGGGCCATTGCCTGGCATCTGCTGAAGTCTTGGAAATGTTTTTCAAAATTAAGATGAATCTCTTATTTAGAACAGCAGTGAACCTATTGCTAGGTCCCTCTGAATTTTGCCTCCCCCAAATAAAAAAGGGCACAGATTCAGTCTCACCATCATGGTTGCCATCTTGACAATCTTGACAATACCCTGTGGATACCTCTGATGTTAGATTTTTCTGACAAATATTTGCAACAAGAATGTATCAAAACTGGAGTATAATCTGGGTTGATCCAGGAATTGCCTGGGATCAGTTAGCTATCAGTACAAAGTCGTCTTCCTCAATGCAGACATTTTACCAGTGAAATGCTGTTTGATTTGATGTTTTCATTTTTCTTGTTCCATTGTGCTTTGTGTTTTAAAGTTTCATCCTATGCTTTTAAAAGAGATATATCATTTTATATATGATATAAAGTCATATGTATTTTTGAAATTCCCTTGATTTTGATTTTGAAAAGGAGCCATATTGTGTGCACTGATCTCCCTGTATCATCTGGATAGCATCCAAGTACCTGAAATGTCTCATTAAAATATGGAGTAGGTGGTGACACTTGTCTCTGTGCTTGAAAGCTAAGCAGGGTCAACCCTCCTTAATTCTTGGATGGGAGATCACCAGATAATTTCAGGATTGTGGGCTAGACTGGGAAGTTGAAAGACATCATGGAAGAAAGCAGTGACAAAAGCACTTCCATATTATTGTCAAGATAACTCATGAGTCAAACCCAACTTAAGGGTTTCACTTTACATATGTTTAATTTACACCTTATTACAACAAGAATATAGACAGCTGTTGATAAGTTAATTCCCATTTTCAAAACTTCCAGATCTCTCTCTGCAACCAGAACTCTCTGGTTGTTTATTTCAATATATTAAGGTAATGGTATTTTCTATCAGTTTGGTCCAGAGTTGGTGCCAGAATTGGGCAACCTGGTGCACTTCATATGTTTTGGGCTGCATTTCCTATAATCTGTTTTTATGTGCCATATTGTCTGCAACTGGTAGATATATTTTGTAACATTCAAATGGAATATATTCTATTTGCGTTCATTGCCACAAGAGGTCACTATTGTTGCTTGTATCAATATGCATTAGCACAGCCTTCCCCAACTTAGTACGTTCAAGATGTGCTGGGATTGCAGTTCCCATGTTGGTTGGAAATTCAGTGAATTGCAGTCCCAACATATCTGAAGAATGCCCAATTGAGGAGACTATGTTATAAAAGCTATAGAGGGCTAATCAAAAGAAACCTTAAAGAACCATCCAGATGCAAGTGCTCAATAATATTGTAGCTGAAGTTATACATCGACATTTAAAAATGCAACCAGTTGGCATCTTCTGGACCATAGGAATATAGAATGTTATTAGAGACAAAAATAAAAATGGTAAACACTGACAATCTCGCAACTCCTGTTATTCCTTTTTTAAAGTATCTTGCTTCTTGTAGGTATAACTTCCTTTATTTCTTTTATGATGTCTTACTGCTGCATGCATGCAACACAGAATCTCTTTAAGACAGAAACCCCAATTTATCAGCATAGTACCTTGCTACTGATGTAAAGAATCTCTCTAGTACTACCCTGAGAACTAGCCAATTCTAAATTAGCCTTCTTCAGTCTGGTATTGACTACAAATCCCTGACTGAAGGCTGGTGAAGGCTGCCTTAAATTATTGATATAAAAATCAATCCATCATGTTTGTATTTTCCTGATCTTCACTGAAGTTGTATGTGTACTGTAGTCATTGACAGCAGAGCTTTTATTCCCCATCCCTTTGATAATAAATTAATCAAGCTCAGAGCTGGATTAGCTAGTACAGAAACTCTCACAGATTATTTGTGGCTTAATTCTGTAACTATCATCTGTAGTTTAATGTAACCTTAACCCTAATCCTCTCAGAGCTATTATTTAGGCAAATTAAATAATAAATTATTATTTAATTTGCCTAAATAATAAAATATTATTATTATCCTCTCAGAGCTATTATTTAGGCAAATTAAATAATAAATTTATTATTATTATTATTATTATTATTATTATTATTATTATTATTATTCCCCTATCTAATACCAAATCGATTCACCAAGGGATTGATGTTAACTTTCCCTTTCCAATATATTCCCTACCAACTTTTATGAAAATCCTCCTGACTATTTGTAGTCCCCAGCTTTGCTGGATAGATTAGGAAGCATGGAGAAAGTCTACATAAAGCATTATTCTGAGCCCTGGTGAGTTCCTAACTTCATTTTCTTCTCTAAAGGTATAAAGCAAGAAGTTGGTACCATTCGTGCGTCCTTGTTTATCCCACCCCAGACAGAATACAGTCTTCTGCTTCTTATTCAAGACAAACTAGCAGTATTTTGAATGTCTGGTATTACAGAAAATAAGATTCTTGCTTCCTTTTAATTCAGTAGAAAGAACAACTGATTCTAAAAGAAACCAAGGCATGGAATCAAGTAAATGTTTTTTCAGAAACATATACAATATGGCAAGATTTCCTGGAACTACCTTCCATGTGGTATAAACATAGTCACCTTCAGTGCCAGAGAAAGATGAGAGTTATTTCTCCCATTCTCTCTTTGGTTGGAGGATATACTTCAGAGGGCAGTAAGGAGTTTATATCCATTTTCTTTTAGGAGTAATCAAGCATACTTCTGCATTCTGATTAATAGGTGAGAGGCTGCATTATATCCTTTAGGAGAAAATGTAATTTTGCTATCATCCCCTTTCCCTGCATGCAACATTAGTTTATATATTGAAAAGTACCTAAGCTTTTGGAGGGGAGAAAGTGCTCATTCGGACGACAAACCCCAGTTGCTCAGAGGTGAAACACAACATTAGTTTTATCATATGAACTGCCTTTCAAAAACATTTTTTGCTGTATTAGCTACTCAACTTACAGAGGACATGTTATATTACCTGGCTTGCTATTAAGTTCCACATGCCACTGTTTATTGGGAAGACCTACTCATGGTGAATGAGTTAAAACAGAATGCTTTGGGAATATGAGCATAGAACAGAGCAAGAAACTAAAAGCTGTTTGTTAAGGCAACATCAGTTGTATGTATCAGCCCTCCCCTGCCCTTTCACTCTTTCTTTTTCAGTCGGACTGATAATAATTTAGCTTCCCTTCACAGTTATAGATTTACAGAAGTTTTCATTAAGCTGTTTGAACTGGTTGTAAAAATCGGCATGAAATCCTGTCCTCGTTATTCTTGTTAGGATGGTCGACTGAGACCTGGAGACCAGCTTGTATCTATTAACGAGGAATCATTGATTGGAGTCACTTATGAAGAGGCAAGAAATCTAATCAACAGAACAAAGCCGAGGTAACCACTTGTTACAAAACCAAACCTCTGAACATTCTTTTTCATAGATTAAATTTATGCATTTAGCTCTTAAAATTGTCAAAAGAGTTTTGGACAAGTGCTTCTGAAAATGTGTATATTTTCCTTTAGTTTTTCTAAACACAGTGTCCAAGACATAGAATATTACAAAATTAAGATCTTTACAATTAAAATACTTGCCTATCATATCAAAACCACTAAAAACAGGGTAATAAATTTTTATCTTACTGAATTTTATTTATTTACTAAATTTGATTTGCTTCCTGAATAGCTAGAAAGCTACAAAGAGGTCTTTATTATTACTGGAAGGATTCAGCATATGATACCTTTTTTGTTCATTTAGATCAAATACCTCTTGGGAGATAGCTTTCGTCCGACATGATTCTGGTCCTGGTCAGGTGGAAAATATGCAGCCATTCTCCAGTCTGCCAAGTTCAGAGAGATATGGACTACAGAATAATCTACTGAGCCTCAGTCCAACATTGTCTTCTAATAAGAATGTTGCTGCCGAGAAGTCTGTTCTGAATATGGCAAGTTTAACCTGTCAAATAAAAGTTTTGCTTTCCTTAAAAAATTGCTTTGCTTTGAATAGGATCATTATAGTTAGGCACTACTAGTTCCTGGCTGATCTCAAAAACCTGAGCAGGGGGACTTATATAGTACTTTGATGGGAAATCATTAGGAAATAAGAAGGCTGTAGGCTAATCAAGGAATAATAATAAAAGAAATCTTGGAGGATGGCAGTGCCAAGCAATCTGCACAGCCATCCCCATGAAGTCAACAGGAGTTGAGCTCATTTTAAAGAGGACTTTACGGTTTAGTTTTGCAAAATACATGACAGACTCTAATAAAAAAATTATATAAAAATCAGATTTCTTGCAATGTTGTACATGCATTGACTAACTTTATGAACTTAGAAGCGACTATTGTCTTCTGTAAGTGCATATCCAAATATTTCCAAATAGGTGAGCATTAATTTGCATAAGGTAATTCCTGAGCAAGATTTTAAAAAGCAGTTCTTCCAGCTTTTCTAGATGAAGGGCATTAAAAAAAAAACTTTATTTTTAAATGTATATGTCGTCCAATTCCCAGTGACTCTTTTGTTTATTGCTAATAGGTAATAGGAAAAGAAAATCAAGTCATAAGCAAAGAAGATGGGATTACTGATGCAAGGCAACTGTAAAGTTTTATGTATGAGGCACAGCTTTTATATAAGAAGTATTTTGTTTGCAAACACCCACTGTTCATTGATTATCTATCTATCTACCAGCGCTTTCAAGGCAATTTGCAATTTAAAATAGTTTATCCTAACATAATAATGTACACTTTCTGAAAAGAAGACAGAAGAAAAACAGAAATTAAGAAATTAAACAGAAATCAAACTAGTTAAGAGCCAGCTCTTCATTCTCATTATTGCCAGCTGAATAGGACTGGGTGTCATGCTTTGTTTCATTCAGTTGCTATCTTTGTTATACACTTTTCTTTATGCAGAAAGCTTTCAACAGAAGAAAGTAAGGAAATTCTATATATAACTATCAAATGATCTAATGAGCTAGATAAATTATACATCTTCAACTTAAAACATCTGGCTACCAGCTAATTAGTACTATCACAAATAATGTCTTTGAACTCTTGGCTTGCACATGGCCCAATTCACAGAAATATCTTGTTCTGTTTGGGTTGGCTCTCTCCAACCTTATGTCCTCTGTATATGTTGCATTTCAGCTCCCAGCTGACATGGTTTTTGCCATGTTTCTTGGAGTATTATGTGGGGCGTAGGTTCAACATATCTGCAGGACACCAGGCTGGGAAAGGTTGCTTTGGATGAACAAAGTGGCTGCCTGAATTGTACTACACAAGGTGGGCTCATATTTGCCCACTTTAATTTGCTTTATGAAAAAATCTCTGAAAAACATCTTTCTTTCCTTTGAGGAAAAAGTCATTTTCATTTATTTTTAAGGTATAAGTAGCAACATTAGTCTGACAAAACAAATGAAACAATGGGTTTGTGAAAGATATAAATTAATATTCAAAATAATTGATCATCTATATCAACTTTTAAATTAGATGGCACTTCTCCTCTGGACAGATGTTCACAGAAGAGATATTTTTGAATAGGATAAAGGGGGAGTGTATGTCCTAGGAGGTGTGGGCTGCTTTCTCCATTATCAGCATACTTCCTTTATGGAGAAATGTATCTATAAATAGAAACATGATTTCATCTAGGCCTTCTGGAGAAAAGCAGTGCATAAAAAGCATGCTCCTCTTTAAAATAAAAATTCAACTAAAGGCATGCTGCATTTCTCAGAGAAATTTCAATGCACAGAATAATACGGTTATGCAAAACTTTCAAAAGAGATGCTTTACAAGACCAGGTTCCTGTATGAAGCAACTTTTTAAATGGATAAAACAGCTGTATCAACTACAAGACTCGTGACTGCCTCAAAAGCTGCTTCTACATGCTTCCGTATCTTGTGGATGCACAGCCATTTTGCTTCATGGCTTTGTACAGTCATAGAGGCCTAAAGAATAATGTTTTATTCCACCGAGTGGTCCAGTTTGGTTTTGTGTTTGTTTTTGATATTGACTGAGAAGAGCCTTGTGCTAGGTTAGAGTAGAATTCCAACTCCAATGCAAGTCCCAGGAAGTGAGCTCCATTGAATTGTTGGAATCTATGCATACGGTTATGCATGTGATTGTACATTTATTTAATGTACAAATTCCAGCACCAGAAGAAAGAACAGAAGTAGGGAGAAAGCAGAAAGGATATTCTACAGATTTATCAAGCTGTGTTTGAGAAACTCTGCCTTCAGTGTTTCTATAACACATGCATGCAGTTTTAATACATTTGCATAAGTAATGTAGAACATGGTGTTTATTTTTAATGGCATTAATAATTTCTAGCTTCTTAAGAATTGGCATGAAATAGTGAACTCCTCAGTGCTGCAGGTTTAGTTAGAAGGTCTGGAGAAATGCCTTCATCTGACAGGTTGTAGATTACTTAATGCATAGTTCCATATGCCCATATTTACCTTTACCTTTGGGCAATGAATTATACTCAGTGCTGTTTTGGATCACTTGTACTCAAAATTATCACTTAAGCATTCTGTGTGTGAAGCAACCAAGGGAAAAATGATATGAACTAGCCCAGATTTGAAAAGCGATGGAAGAGTCAGTAGCATATAGTAAATTGATTGAAAATGTTTCTCAGCGTAGAATCTAACAGGTTGGTGGGTTCCTTAACTAGGATCTCTCAGATAAAACCGCCATGTTAGAAATCCTGAGTGGTTCTTGGTTTGATTGACTTGGTTATCATTGATTGACACAGGGTTTTGATAAAGTTGCCTGTTGTTTGCCCTGTACTTGCTCTGCTCCTTCCATGGGGCTGCATCATAACATTAGATGAAAAGTATTTGCAGAAATACCCACTTTTTCTAAACCTGTTTGAGGGGGAAAAATCAATACTATCCAAAGGTTCTGCTAATCTTTATTCTATGGACTAAGATTATGGTGGTAAAAGTACTCAGTTGGCTTTATAAGCAGACCTTAATAGTTGTTACATTAAACTTGTTGGGCATTAGGCAAAATGTAAGCACATTTTGTCTCCATAAAAGGCAAATAATTTGGCTAATAAAAACTTGACATTAGTATTTAGTCTGGACCCAACCTGCTTCAGCAAACGGTACTTCCTAATGTTTATGTTTTTCTTTCATAGATGAAAACTGGATTCAAGAAAGGAGAACAATTTTCAGCATTTTCTACAGACAGCAGTTCCATTGATGTATCAACTGGGGGTAAACGCTTATTCATTTGTTCACTCTCTCTCTCTCTCTCTCTCTCTTTGTTGTTGTTATTACTTTTCACATGAGTTTCCTTTTCTTTAAAAAAACACTATGTGTGCCCTTTCTTTGATAATGTGAATGAAAAAATGAAATGAATGAATTGTTGAGGGATCTTTTTTCAGTATAATGACAACTGAATGAGGTTTGATTGTCCTTGTTTGCAACATTTGCTTGTATAGTGTAGCTACTATATGGCACTTAAACTGACAGACTGTGGTTACAAATCTCAGGGTATAGTCCAAACTTTAGTTGTACCAAAGAAGTTGCAGTATGGCAATTTAGACTTAGGTGAAGCAAGCAGGCCTTTGTGGCCAGAGTATGGATGGGAAACCATATACACTGCTTTAAGTTTCATGATGGAAAAAATATGAGATATGAATTGAATTATGAGATGCTTTTCAAAGTACATTGCAGAGAATTTGGGGATCCCAGAAAGTTATAAGGGGTTCTTCTCTGAAAATGCCAGGAGCTGTGGGCAAACATACTCATAATGACCGATATTCCCTAGAATGGACAGTTGAGTACGTCCGAGGATGCAGCCGTGTTCCAGCAGCAATTGTTAAATCCAGTAAGCCTGGCTGGAACCCTGCCTGGACTGAGACTGTGTCCTTATATATTCCCAGAACTTCCTGCAATCCACAGGAGTTCAGATTTTCAAATTCCTCTAGGAGCAGTCAGGAGTTGAAATTATTGATCCAAAGAATAAGACTTTCTGAGCTCAGATTAGTAAACTGTATTAAGAAAAGAGATTGAAGTAGCAATACTGTACAAGAATTCCATCAAGGACTTTGCTTTCAAATGAGATAGATAGATAGATATACATACATACATATATATATACATATATATATACAGTG